GCCAGAACTTTTGTGGAATGCCTGACATCCCAGGAACTTTTTCGTAACCCGGCATGCACAGTAACACACAAATGAACGCTACATTTTGAGCACTTCTTTCTTGTTCTGTGTCCCCTCCAGGTAGCCAGTGGGCCTGAGTCATTGCCACATAAAGTACAATCATTCGGTGTAGAACATGTTAAAATGAAGTGATCCCGGACCTGGGTTCTAAGGCGAACATAGTTTGGTCCATTAAAAAATAGAATACGTTTCTTACGCCTAACGGAGGCCTTGTTAACCAAAGCTTTAATTTGACGTGCCTGAAGTGATGCTTCTTCTGCTTCAGTTTCCTTATTACTTGCATCTTCTTTGGCCAAATTTTCAGCATGAACCAGCAAATCTCTAGAAGCAACGTACACAAAATCAGCAAGAAACTCCACAGAATTCAGTGCTTCGTGATAGTGGTCTAGTGTATCAAATTTCTGCTTGCTTTCCAGCCGATTTCCTTTCTCAGACATTCACCATCCGTGAAATGCATTTATAGCCACTGTTTTTATAGTTCGCAGTACTATCTTCCGTTCCCACTTGAATGAAGAGGTTGAAGAAAGTAGTACAGCCCTAAACTGAGCACTGTCATCAACACCACCCTTGGTCTTAGAGTAGAAGCTTTGAGCTCCATGCTTAAATAGCTTAAGAGGTGGGAACGGGTGGTTGCACTTAACACAATTGTTGATAAGATTCCAAAACTTCAGTCTGAGTATGATTTGTTTCTTGGCAGCTGAATCAGCAAATGAAGGCATTCTCTGATCCTCATGGTAAGCCCAAGAAACAACTGATCCGGCGATGTTGTGGTACAATTGCCAAGTGACGCTACTGTACTAGGCGGGTACCAGGGGCTCAGCCGAGTACAGTAGTAAGATGTTAACCGATACGGTACATACGTGGCGAGCACGTGTAGATGTGGCCACGTGGGAGTCCACGTGTAGTTAGTGGCACCAGCTAGTGCAGGTGTACACGTGGTGCGCAACCGATCGGTGGGTTAGTACAGTAGTCATTTTTAGTTGCCGTAAGCTACAGTAAGCTGGATACAGTATGTACAGCTACTGTAGTCCGTCCGGTACCACCGCCCTACTAGGGGGTATAAGATAAGAGGGCACCGGGCTGGAGGTAAACCGAGGCAAGCACGCCTCCCCTTACTTCCTACCCTAGTCCTTTTACCATACGGTTAAGTAAGTCCCTTAGGTTTCCAGCTCGCCACCGGTCGTACTGCTCTACACCCCAGTACCACTGCGCGTGTCCAGTGCGGTGTACCTCCCTTGTCCAGTGCTTCCTACCGTTCCGGACTATTCTACCTGACACTCCAATGTAGCGGTCCCCCAGGCTCCCTCATTTTTAGGTACAACCTGTCCTTTTCCGTTTACGGTTTAGCGTCCATACGGTTGTACCACAGATGTCTTGCAGGGTAATTCGTAATTGATTGCGCTGTGTGGCACTAACGTGTATAACTGCTATGTATAGCACAGCGTGCTCTGATGCAGAAATATTAACACAGTAGGCAACATTCAACACTATCATTTGCTGTAATACCTGACCGATGTGATTCTTAGGTATGTACTTAAGTAAACTTGGATCTCCCAATCTCAATTTTTGCACGTCTATGGTCTGAATTGCCAGAGCCCTGTCAACCGCGTCATGCGCCACGCTGGTTTTGATTTCGACAGAGGCCATACATAGATTTTCTTGAGTTTCAGCACCACTGGCTGCCTCCTCAGCGTCAAAAGCAATAGCAAGTGGATCTATTAGTGAAATTCCGTCAGGACTGCATGCCAACCAATCCAAGTCCTTAATGGATAGCATGCCACATTCGAATACTGCCTTAAAAAAACCTTTTCCTCGTAATGCGGACAGCACACAACCTTCGTTAGCCGTTCCTCTCTTCATTGCCTCGCTGGACCTTGCACTGCTAAACCACGAGGCAATCATCTTGTTTAGTATTTCTGCTGGGTTCATGCTGTCATCTTCAAGTACTGCTTCAATATCCTCAGCTGCATTTATACCGAGCATTTCAGTAGTAGAAGAGTCCAAAAGAAGCAGCTGCCCAGCGCTAGTGCCGGTGACTCTAAATTGGCGCAGCAAAAACCAATCTGCACACCGCTGACCTATTGTCTTCACATTTCAGTGTTGCAATAGGAAACTCTCCATAAAGGCCTTTTTCTCATCCGATGATATTGCAGAAGCTACCACCTCCCCATCCTCACTCCTGTTATTGAATAGCAAATTTGAAGTAATCTCGGACTTTGGGACGGCTATCCATGTGTCCACAGTGCTACTTATGTGAGGATCCTCAAAAAAGTTTTGCAAAGTAATCCGCTTCTTGTACAGTGTACCTCGAGGTACACTGTACAGGAAGCGGATTACTTTGCAAAACTTTTTTGTTGGGCGTTCCCTCACGGCAATGGCAACAACTTGACGCCCCGACCGCGTCTCGCCGTCCTCAGCCCGTAACGTCTTCACAGCTGATAGGACATCGGGACCGCAAGAGGCATCATTATTTATAACAAATGCCTCAGGTCTGTCCAGGATAACGCCTTCAAAAGCACTGCTATCTCTCTCTCCAGCCATGTCTGAGTCTTCTAATTGTCCCTCTTCACACTCATCAGCTCTACCACTTCTTACGTATGAAATCCGACAAAAGGATGACACCTGAATAGGTGCTCTGGCATAACAAACAAGGCTGAAACACCTTGCTTGTTTAACTCCTCAATGAGTTTTATACTTCCGTACCTGCGGTCTGCGGTTATCGTAAACCCACACAAGCTTTGACCGGTTCTTCCGTCAAGAATGTGTGTAAGAAGTTTTTGCACGTTTTCATGCTGCCCATCCCCTCTACGACGAAATCGAATACCCAATGTTATCCTAAACAATGCATCAGCCATGACGTCCGCTGTATGACCTTCGCGGTCGGCTTTTCTTGCACTCAAAGTTTTAACTTGATTGTCCACGGCTCTTGTACCGTATAAATCATCGTCCAGTGTAGCCAAAGTAAACGAAGGGCAGAAGAATATCCGTGCAGAAATCTCAAATTCTCCCTGTTCAAAAGCGCTTAGGAAAGTAGTCTGATCTCTTTGTCCTCCCCACGCAGAGCTGCTCATGTCACCTCTATTGGTAGAAGGGTAAGCAAGCAACCGGGATCCTATTGCACGCATACGATTTAAATCCGGTGTACGACAACCTATAGATGATAACATGCTGACTGTGGTAGAGAGGTTTAGCCCTGTGCACTGCGACAGAAGAAAAACAGATACATACTGGTACATTTCATGTAACTTGAAAAGCTCTTCTTGCTCATTATGCAAATAAATGTGCTCATTGGACCACTGCATGCACATGTTTAACAGATTATCCACAAGCAGTATCATAAAGCCCGCCCGCGATGGCTTGAGAATTCGTACCTGGAGCTCCACATTTGCTCTTCCAATAGCTGAGTAACAAAAGCGCCTTGCGCTCTCTCAAACTGCTCCTTTAATAAAAATCTCTCTCCATTTGTACAGCCAGAGTTGTTCTTGGCTGCAGACGCCACCCTTCTGAAGGGTCTGCTAAGACTACACGTCGTCTGGCCCGTCTGCCCTCCTACAGCTGCACAGAAGAGGAGCTTCCCTGTGCGACCCTTCCCCTTCCACGACCGGCCGTTGTCCTTGTGCGACTGCGCCTCCGATCACGACCATTTCTACCTCGACTGCAAGGACGACCTCTCCCTCGTCCTCGCCGCACCCCATCTTCTCTTGTGTTCGTTACAGATGTCTGCCCTGTGGGATTGTTGGCAGGAGCAGTCGCTGTGGAGATATTAGCCGGCGGTGGCGGGTTAGGGGATGCACTTTGGGGGGTTGGGGGGAGATCAGCAGGCGTTCTTAGATTTGTGTGTGCGAATTCGGGGGGTAGGCGGGTGGCAGGCGGTGGTGGATGTTCGGTTCCACGTTGGTGGGGAGGTAGGCGAGTGGAAGGTAGCGGTGGAGAAGTCATGGGTATGCACGGACGGCACAGATGATCTGTATCAGGTACAGACGGTACTGGGACGTTTTATGTATCGAGAACCGCTGGTAGAAGCGCTGCTGTAGGGACTTTATTTAGTACGATGGAACCCTCAACGTTCGAACGGTCTAAAATGGGCTTCCAATTGTCGAGTTTGGATTTTGAAGTCATAGGAAGCAGGTTTCGAGTCAGGGAAGAGACTGAAGTATAGAAATTGAGCTTCAGCCAATCAGGTCAGTTAAGAACGACGGTCAAAGATGGCCGTGAAAAGGGGTGTATTGCTAAAAACGTGAGCAATACTTATTTCGCTATATTTTATTTTCTCTCTTTTGCTCACATTTGTGAGCAATAGAACAGTTGGTATATGGGGACTATCTGTCCGATAAACAGTGGGCGACTCCGAAAAACACAAACGCACATAAATTTTGTACACACAAATTCCCTTAGTATGTGCGTCGTATTTTGTGATCTGGCACGGAAATGAAAATGACATAAAATATGTATGATGCATTCGCAATGCGTATGCACCCTCAGCAGTACGGAAAAGCCCAGCGCCCAGATCGGCATTCCACCTTCGCACTTCCATCCCATTCACCCCTCAGATGATATCTGCTGCTTCTTTTGTTGCTGCAACGGGCGAAGCGGCAACGAAACATCATGTTCCGTCACCGTCTTACTGCAGAAGGGAGAAGAAGACGAGACCAGCGGATAAACAGGCTGGGGATGGGAGAGCTCGCACGGATGATGTCATCCGTGCGAGCTCTCCCATACACGTGTGCCTCTGCCATCAACTGTCAACCTCTGCCATCAACTGTCAACAGTTGATGGCAGAGGTACACGTGTAGGTGCATTTGTGCGTTTGTGTCTGTGCACAAACAATTACATCGGGAGCCGAACGACGAACAAATCGGCGGTTTGTGTATACACAAACAACCCCTAGTCAATCAAAATTGATGGATTTGCGCATCACAAACACACAATAGTAGCGTACGATAGTTAACAATAGTTTACCAGTTAGTTTTGCCCGATGGACTTTGCCGCATCATCCGGGGTCATCTCACTAAAATGTGGAAATTTGCTAACGAGCTCTCCTGCCCGGTATGCGACCGCAGCATCTTCCTCTTGAACAAACGGTTGAAGCAGTTCCACTCTTTTTTGGTTCGACCCAAGGAACTCGATTAAGCATTGGCGACATTCAGATAATCTTTGCGAAGGTCGCTTCGTCTTCGTTGCAAGTAGCAACAAGGTAAATATTGACGGATTTGCCTTCTCCAATAGCTCCTTCGAAACTAGAAATTGGCCTTTCAAAAACATTTTTGGTCCGGAGTCCACTGCTACATTTGCGAGCACACTTGTACGCTTCGAGAATGGTACTTTAACCGCGAAAAAATCGATTATCATCTCAGACAGTCTCAAGACGCTTCCGAGGTTACATCTTCCTGAGGTCATGTCCACTGTCGCTACGTAGAATTTGGTCAGGGTTTCAGTCAGAGACCATTCTGATTCTTCTTCTCTGGAAAATATAAACCTTTGGAGCTGCGACTCGATTTCGCATAGAATTCTCCACTCCCTTGCGAAATGAGTCGTTTCTCGTTTCGATAGGCGGGCGGCGTGCTCAATTGCCATTTTCTCAAGCTGTTGGATGACTTTCAGACAAAAAGGCTTGTCTAACAGTCTTACCATTGTTCGAATGGAAACGACATATCTGGAAACAGAAGACTGGTAGGCTCTTCCGATTGTGCCACTGAGACGGGTTCCACTAATAGAGCTACTTTCTGCCTTCTCCCGCAAAACGGTCCTATCATTTGCGGAAGAGTCTTCATTGATGCGACCTGTCAGAGAGTCCATAGATTTCCATCCGAGCGGGTCAAAGAGCAACAATCTTATCGTGTCCATGACAAAATCAGGCCAGGGCCCAACCCGAAAGGTGTGGACAAAGCATTCGCTCATCTCGCAAACCTCAAGTAATGCCCGAAAAGTGACGATGTGATCCCGTAGAATGTCAACATCTGCTTGAGATGTATTTTCCAGACAGATTCTGACAGCAACGTCATAAATGACTCGGAAAAGGCCCTGGCGAACTGATGAGGACGCAGTATCCGTATAAATTGTTAGCACCGTGTCCAGTCCCCCGATTTCCTCCATGCACCCGTAGTCAACGCTTGTGCCCAAACTATCATCAGGAAGACTGTAGAGTCTCTGGTAGATTCCTTCATTGACAAGGACGTGGTCCACGTCTGTGTGAGTGAGGTCACCAACGTGAAGCGCAAGCGCAGAAAGACAGCGGGACGAAATTCGTTCGCTCGGTCTGCGGTTACTCGCTCTCAGCAACACCAAGAAGCAGCGTAACGCCCTATCCCACATGACATAATCGTCTTGCCGACCATGCATATGTTCGACAACTTCAGAAAATACTTTTTGAGCAACCCCTTCCACTGACGCCCACGAACTTTTGTGAACAAAGCTTGTGTGCGCTGCGATGTTAATCAAAATCGTAAAAATCGAACCATCTCGTTCACTTCTTTCCGCTCCTCGCATTCGCCTCACGATTTGCGAAAGAAGTCCATAACCAGCTTCAAACCCCTCCAGACAAGCACTTACAACGTATCCGGTTAGTAATTGCAGCGCACGGTTCCTTCCATGTGCTTTTAACGCTGTGTTCGTTAAGTACTCATGCAGCACACTCCAAGCCTCCCCTCCAGATTCATTTCTTGGATAAAACCGCCATTTTACAGGCGCCCTATTCTGAATTGGTAATGGAGCAATGCCTTTCAGGCGCTGTTGGCTGAGAACCACTGCGCCAACTTGCGAGTCTTCTGCACTGCTAATGGACAACGAAAGAAACCCCTCCGTCAAGTTACCTTCGTGTTGGTCAGACCTCGGTATCGGAGGGAACATTGAGGATGTTCTATAACGTTGAGCACTGTACGGTGGAAGAGGAAGGGGCAAGGTCAAATTGGGAATGTGCTCTATGAAAGATTGTGTGCTGGTGTCCACAGGTCCTCCTGAGCTCCTCATTAAATCTCCCTCTGACACAATGGTGGGCTCTGGTGGAAACGGGGGGTCAAACTGGCTACGTTCATCCATGTTACTCGGCAGCCATGAACCTTCTTCACCATAACTTGGCTTCCTATCGGAGCTCGGCACAGCCGGTACAGGCCTCGATGGGGGCAAAAGAGCTGCACCCTGGGAGATCTCATCGAAATCAGTACCACTATGTCTGTGCAGTGAGAAATTAGTCGCTGGGCGAGTTCGCTGTGGGAGGTCGACAATTTTCTCTCCACGAACGTTTTCTGGTTTTGGTGGTAAAGGAGGGGGGGCAGCTGGGTTATGGATGGCGGATCCTCGGGCAAACGACGGTTTCGGAGGCAATGGAGGTGGGGCATTCTTCAATGCGAAAGATGAACCATCAGGTTGCGGATTTGCCCTCGGTAGCCTTATTCCACTGCTTAACGGTTCCTCCGACTCTGGGATAGATTCGTATTCCTCTGCGGACAATCTTAAGCTTCCGCTTCGCGGTCGCCGTCGCCTTTCAGGGGCAGAAGTAGCCATACCCGAAAACTTTGATGCAACTCCAAACTAAAGAGGCGTGTGCTTCTGGAGAGTATCAAGGTGCAGGTCACGATCTTCTGGAAGACAGTCGCTCTGCCTTGGTGGGGCGATGCGGCTCAGCGCAAGCAAGTTCAAACGAGGCATGCCGTGTATGGAGACTTGCGCAGTCTGAGCCTGCCTCAGGGAGCTGCCCTTTGTGCGAGGGGATAAGTAGTCTCAATGCGGAATATGATAAGTCTCCCATAACGCACAATAAGTACGGTACAAGGGTACTGTAGCGCAACCCGACAGCTGGCGTCAAGCCAAGGGACCTTCTTTTTGCCTCATACCATATGGGTCCAGCCCTTGTTGTCGCAAATATACATAAATTAAAGTGCTAATTTAATTTCAAAGGCCAAGTTGGGACACCATTACTGTACTCGAAGGTAATTGTAATACACTGTACTGTACAGTAGTATTGACATCTTGCGTACCATCGATGCAACGGATTCATTGAACTCATTGAAAGCCCACGGAGTCAATGGGTTATGAATTGCGCATTGACATTTTAATATATATATTTGGTTTAAGGATGTCAAAGAAAGAAGTTTTCATCTATGCATAAAACTGCACCTTCGCTAGGCCTTCCTGAAAACCAACCCGAAGGACGGTCGCGCCCATTGAGATGTGGGCAATCGTAAACGCAATTCAGTACTGGTGCTGGGGTTACAGTTTCCATTCTGACCCAACAAACGTAACTCCATAATAGACAGTCGGACAATAACCCCCATCTGAGGCTATTTGTCTCCAACACACCACACACGGGAAGCGAAACATCTAGTACCGACGAAGAGTACTATTCAGCCACGCCTCTGGGGAAGTTCTTGTCATCAACTTCAAACATTGCCGGTCAATCCACCATTTAGCTCTTCTGGGAGGTCTGCAGTTGGACGCATTTCGTCTAACCATCATCTTCTAGGGTACACTGTGCTTCTTGGTATCTTCTTCCTCGCGACGACTATTGCGACTCAACAGATGACTTCAAATATCCGCCATAGGATCTCTTCTAGGCCGCCTTCTGCGTCTCTTAAAGCTAGCGAACTGCAAAACAGTGCGGAGGTCCTATCAACTTTAACCTCGGGTCTCCGAATATCAACACCGCCCATCTCGTTACCGCACAATTATAACCATGCGCAAAAGACCGCACAGTCTAGTGCATCGTCATTGGAAACTCCGACCCACATTAAGGGGAGGCTATGTTCGGCTTCTGCTTTCCTGATATTAATAAGAGCTTCAGCCTGATGGTGCGATCCATGCGCTATTTATTGCACTTCCTGCACTTCATAGCTGAGGCTAATGTGATCTGATATAGCCTTGTACAGTTCAGTTGCCTTTGCCCTTTTGGTAAGACCCGAGCGCGCAAAACCATCTGGCAGGTGCGCCTTGTGCGTAAAGCTATATTCTCGGGGCTTGTTGTGGAACCTGCACAGGTTTCAGTTGATTTTTTCTCTGCAAACAAACTACAGATGAAAACCCCTTTCAAGTTGGAAGATGACCGTTTTCCCCAGTACAATTTTCTGCGACAGGTCAACACGGGGTTGGCAACGTAAATGTGTAAATCGAAAGACGAAATTTCGGCATGGACAAACTAGGGATGCGCTCGTAGGGATTCATGATCAGTCTAAAACATCGGTACGTTCCACGAAGGAGGTGGTTAACATATAAGCACAGCAAATCGACATGTAAGCACTGTGGAGAACGTTTACTCGTTTCTATAGCGGGTTTCAGCTTTGACGGGTCATTTGCATCTACTCCGCAGTTCTTGGTCTGCAATATGGAATGAGCACAAACGCGTCGAAACCTGCTCCGGGATCTTAGACGCCCTAGGAGTACTGCATCACTCGCCGATTTGATTCGCAAACATTGCGCAAAGAAGGTTAGTGACTGTTCTAGTCTAACGAGGCTCTTTTCAACGCTGATAAAGGAACCCCACATGCGGTGCAATACCTACTCTTCGATTAGTGAACCTCAACATTCGGATCCTTTTCATCTTCGCGATTTCTTCTGGTGAATAGTCTTTGCCAGCTGCCGCTGGCGCAGAGGTATTGTCACTTTTGGTGGGTTGTACCTCTGAGGACTCGTCCTTTGAAGCTTCCTTATCTGGCGATGTCGCGCACATCATGGCTCGGGATCGAGTCTGGCGCGTCAATCCAGGCAGTAGCTGGGGGACGGGTAGGAAAGCCATTGGTTCGCCTTTCTCAAAGTAGTGGAGCTGTTGGCAGCGGGTGGTGGTGGTGTGTAAGATGATAGTTAAGAATCGCTGCTGTAGCCGGATGAACTAAAGATACTGCTGCACGCTGGGCACGCCAACCCTGAGTTATAAAGAAATAGACTGTTGCCTACAAAAACCCCAACGTGATCACGTACGGAAAAATCTCAGATTCAAGTGAAACCCTCGCCTCTTTAGAGCCAATAACGAAAGGGCATGCAAACCGCATTCTATGTGCCTACAAGTAGTAGGCACGCACTGCCACTGCACTGGTATGTGCAGCACGTGTCCAGGACCTGCTGATCCAGCAAATGACCTGCAGCTCCCAGAAGTCAAGACCATACTCGCCCGCACTTGTGATGTTGAAAGGGACAAAAACACCCGTGTGGATACATGTCCAAGATTGCATCCGCTTTTTATCACTAAACGCCTTCACAACGTGGCTACAGAGTGCAAAGCCGTTTCCAAGCGCATGTCAATAGTGATGCTATGGTGTGCCATAGACACTTGTCCGGCATTTCGAAGCGCAGCGTCTAATACAACTGTGCCACGCAGACTGCCCATACCATCCCGAAAGTGCACAACTAAACGCAGTGATGAGCTTTTCCATTACAGCTATACAAATAAAGAAGTGAGCCTTTACTTTATCCGTCTTACGAAGCTTTTCGTCTCCCGCCCGGACCCTTCTTCTTCATAGAAGCGACGCAATCCGGGCAATACCAAGTGCCTTTCGGCTCAACCGTAATCCCAACACACTCATAATGAAACCACTCAATCAGACAATTCTTCCCGTCGCACGCAACCATATCCCCGTATGAAACCTTCCTGCACGTGCAATACACTTCCACGTTCTCTTCACCTGCGTGCTGCAGTCCCGCCATAACTACGTCTCCATCCTTATCAATACTCTCATTGCCTTTCATTTTTGCCGGAGGTTTAACGTCGACATCCGCGCGCTCCTTCTCAAGCTGTTCCGCCTTCTCTGCTTCTTCTTTGACCCTTGCGGCGAGCGCGGCTGCTCGCGGAGTTGTGGCGCTGACCACAACCTCTCGCCGTCTTGACTTCTCCCTGACCCTCCCAGGATCCGGTGGCGGCGACCTGCTGGGCGCTCTGCTTGGTACTCTGCTGGGGGGTCTCTCAGGCATATTTGAAGCGGCCTTGCTCAATCGCTTCTCCTCCCTCTTGATCTCACTGCCCTTTTCCATACCCGGCCATCGCCCTTCCCGTCGCAGCTGGGATTCAAAATCCACGAGCTTCTCGTTGATGTCATTGAGCGACTCAAGTACATTATCTCGAGCTTCTTTCGCGATGCGCACTTTTTTGTCTGCAAACTCGGCGGCCGATGTTTGGAGATGTACGAATTCGTGGAAGGTGCGCTTCACATTCTCCAGCGCCACACCTTTTGTCGTTGCCCGAGAAATGGCCTCTTTCAAAGTCATGTCGGCCTCGCCAACTGTTGTATCGATGCGGTCATCAAGTTGGCGCATCTCGTGGAATAGGCTCTTCGTGTTTGCTGGAAGTGGCTCGATTTGATCTAGAAAATCGTCGAGGTAGGATGTATTGTGCGCTGTCATCGCCGCCTCACGGCGATCAGTCGGTAGGCGATACGCCATGGCGAGTGTCGGCGTTTCTTACGTCGTTGGACAACAGTTGAGTTGTATCACTTGCTGCGGTGGGACTCGTTTCTCATCTGAAAGAATTCCCCGGCCCCGCATGCCAAGGCATGCAGTAATGGTGGAGGGAGTGAGAGCCGAGGATCCAGACGGGGCAGCTGAGAGACTACACGGAAAAGCTGAACGATAGTGGAGAAGAACAAAGAGCCGAGCCGAACACAAGGAAAGGCGGCGAGGCTGTCCGCTCTCCCTACCGTAGCACCGATGTTGGGTGGGGTGCATGCACCATGTGTATGATTTATTCAGAAATAAAAAGGGATAAAAACGTCCTGCAGGCCACTTTGCAAACTTCGTTCCCATTGGCAGGTTCCAAATCATGTTTTCACAAGCATCCAACAAAAAGGAGCCATCTAGTGAATTCCAGAAGCACCTTCAGACGTTTCACGAACGCACACTACTGTACAAGTATTGAAGCCTGCTGCCCGGTTTCGGACAGAACAATTCTTGCTGCCTGCAGCTACGGGACGAAGCTATTGATAGCAGTGTCTCTTCTGAAGCAAATGGGTCCGCGTGGCGCATGCTGCTTCTCTCAGACTTCATCGTTCGGATCCCGCCGAGATTTTATATAACAGCGAATGGCTCCGGTCTCTGACCGGAAATAAAAACGTCCTGCAGGCCACTTTGCAAACTTCGTTCCCATTGACGTCAAACTCAAGCACGCCACATTCTCGCTCCTGCCCAAGCTGTGCCTCATATCTTTACGGCGTTGATTGCGTTTATGGCTAGATATGCTCGCACCCACCATTCGAACAGCCCGCTTCCGCCCTTCTTGGTGTCTACTCTGTTCTCCTCTGGCAAGCTGTATGGCAACATCTCCAGGGGTCGCTGCAAGCGTGGCGCTTCCATGAACATATCACTGGAGTTGCGTTAAGTGAATCCAAACCAGCCCAACTGTCATTAGCGACCGGCCAACCACGCGCGATATCAACATAGGTGTAGAAGAATTTGCGAATTCTTCCGCGCATGCCAGCCTCCCGCACTGTATCGCCGCTTGCAGGCAGACCTCAAAGTCATTGGGGGGGGGGGGGGGGGGGGGGGGGGGGGGGGAATGAGAGGTACGAGCGCCACGACATGAAGACGTCGTACCCCGAAGCGCTCAAATCGCATAACGCAACGCTTCTGTTGAAGAGGCATGGGCCTGGTCCCTTGAAACTGTTTTCGAGCGTAAAACGTTTAGAGTTCGTTGCGGACCTGACGATGGTTGCTCACAAAGATTTGCGGTCAGAAGTCCGTTCTTCAGGAGATCACAACGGAATTCTTCCGGTCATTCAGGTGATATAGCGCTAGGAGATCCTGGGCAAATGCTACGGATCGCGTCATCATTTCTAAATGAAGAATTCGACCACAGTCCAGGTCGACCACAGTCCAGGAGGACATCCGCAAGGGTAGCGCTCATTTATTCGGCCGACTTGTCCAGATGGGCCCGCCAGAGACGTTCGGCATACTATTCCATGGTATCTATATTTTGGCTTCTATCGGTGCTGGAGAGTTTTTAGATATACGGTACGAGCCATGGAGCGGAGTAGAAAATGAGAGGCACATGTCATCCGGGAATTTTGGCAGACATTGCACTGCGGTTTCATGGATGATGAGCTTCACACTGCCGCTCTCGATACTGCTAAGCTCGAGGCCGCAAGCGCTAGGGCCGTTTTGATTTGCAATCTATAAACATGTTACCTCCTGGACATAAGGGGGTTCACCTTCGCGGCGCCGCATTTATACGGCATTAGACCTGGGTTACGACACTATTAGTGCCGACTCTTCAAGGTGCCGCGAGTTCTTGCAAAGCAAAAGCCACAGCCAGCCAAAAAATAAGCGTGTTTATTTCTCGTACACAGTTGCTCCACGACTGATGTGGTGCAACTTTTGGCGTCGCCCCTGTCAACTGCACGTGCGACTTGACGAAATCTATGAACCGCAGTGCTGAGTGGCCGCGTGTATCAGAAAGTTAAACTTGGAGGTAAATGCGCAGCTCGCCATGTTCCCTTTCACGGGGTCTATCTATAGTCCCTAAACGCTACTCCGTACATTAGCTGTTGGCCACGCATTAGTCTGCTCCGTATCTTGTCTATGATCGTAGAGCCTCTTGAATTCAAGCTGCAACGCGCTCACGAGATACAGACTCTGTTCTTTGTTCAACTCCTCATCATTCTTCATGAATTCCGCCAGCTTATTCGTCAGCAACAAGGCTTCCTCGTAAGACGTAATAGGCGGTGTGGGGAATTTTCCAGGGACGCTGACGTCCTCCATGCCATAGTCCTTGCTCTTCTGTGCTGAACATACACTTCGAACAAAGTCTGCCACAGTGCCCTTCGGATGAAATACAGACGATTCCGCTGCTAGCCATACATACTTTTCAGGGTTGTTGATCGCGTATTCAATGTCGGCAGGGCGAACGCTGTGGCGCACGCCCCCAAAGGTCTGTGCTAGCGCACCCTTGTACGTCCGCAGCAACTTTGTCAGCTCATGAATTTGTGCATTCACAGTTCCCGGCTTCATTCTGGGCTGGCCGCATGATCTGTGCAGCCGCGCCGGCATGTAAGAAAGGTCCCTCCAAGCCCGTCTGATGACGGGTACAGGAACATTCCCCCAAGCCTCCCAAATCATCCCAGCAGTCGCCTTGAGGGGTATGGGCTTCACGTGAGTCCCGCGGCAAACAGTCTGTATGGCCTTGTTCATGACCATGCAGCGGTACTTTGTACGAAACGTTTCCTCAATGCCGTGGTAGAGAGGACTTGATTTGCTTCTCCACATTGGTGCGCTGCGATGCCTTCCGTGCCAGGATGTGGAAGGCAACGGCATCACAGAGACCTTCTTCAGCTTCAGAAGGTCAATGTCGCATCGAGTGAGTAAACTAGTCAACACTGCAACAGGTCGGTCCACAGAGGCATCAAACTCCACGAGCCACTTTTTTATGATGCGGGCAGTGAGCCATCCCTTGGCGTTGTGAAAGTACCTGATCGTGGAATCATGCCATACCTCGCCTTCGCGTTTCCCAACTGTCTTTAAAGGCCGTCTTCCGACTAGCCATGGGGCTGGACGCTGCCCGATGGCGTTGGAGCACAACAACGCAACTACGATGTCATCTTCATCAACCGCATTGCGAGCGGTCGATGCTTGGTCTCGAGAACCTCGGTCGACATTGGGGGAGGCGCAGGTCAATGAATCTTGTGGCTGTGATTGCGAAAAGCCGCTGTGGGGCTCATGGCCGCTACTGCTATTCGAACGCTGGGCGTTCCATGACGAGCCTGGTGAGGAAAGTGGAAAGTCAATGAAATTCGGCACGCTAGAGTCGATGCCGCCAGAACCAGAATCACGATCGTTGTATGAGGCATTCATGAGACCGAAGTCATCATTACTGGGTGCATCTGCGTCTTGGGAAGCTACCGCCGGTGTATTAACACTCGCTTCTTTCACGTGTTCAGGCATGGCGGTTGTGGCAAGCACGGTGGCTTCCAGCATGTACACATCTTCCAGTCTGGTATAGTCTCCGAGTTCACGTTGGGTGATGCTCATGTTGAGTTCTGTCTGCCAGATGTCGTAGACCATTAGTGGAGATGCGGGTGGACGGAGTTGGAACCCGTCCGTGGACTCGTCGTCTTCGGGAAAGAGGGCATGGCGCTTCTTGAAAGACTGAATCCAGCTAAGGCTGCCGCGAAATTGGGCGAGGTTTGGCGAATAGTTGGGGGAATTCTTATCCAGACTGCCGTGCTTGTCGGACATTGCGCTTGCAATCTCGCGCGAGATCTGCATGAGGTTCCGGTCATGAAGCTTTGACCGGAGCGATTGGCTGAGCGCGCGGTTGCGAATGAGCTCGTACATGGCCTCCTCGATGATGGGAAAGCGTGGCGAGGTGAGGCGCTTTCGGTTGGAGTCCGTGGTACCGGCTTTGAGCCAAAAATCCTTGCGCTGCAGCACTCGCGTGACCGTGCTGCGCTCAACGCGGTGACCAGACTCGTCAAGGAACAGCTTGGCAATGCAGTTGTGCCTCGCCTCCGGGTGCTGATCCTGAAGCTCACACAGGCGGCGCTTCTCGGCGTGGGATATGCTTCGGTGCGGACGCTTTTTTGGATTTGATGGGCGCGGGACTGAGGCGGGTGAGATTCCTCCCGCAGTGGGTTTGGCGGCGTCAACAGAAGCGTTTTCATGAGTGGCGGTGCCGTTGCCTGGAGCCTGCACGATGGCGGCGGGATTGATTGCGGGTATGTCGTTCTGCCGTGAGATTGATTGGGATGTGTTGAGCATAGACTGGTCTATTTCCATGGTTGCTTGCTCCAGGCTGGCGGTAGGGTGTCGGTCATCGACAGCGGGAGCGTTCGGGGCGGTGACAGTAAGTCCCGGGCTCGGGGGCGCGGGGATGAATGCGGGGGAGTTTTGAAACGCGGGGGCATTCGCAAGCGGTGGGCCACTTACCGGCGGCGGCGGAATGGGGGTTGAGGTTAGCGGCAGGGTGGAAGGCGGGGACGAGTGGGTCTGGGCGGGGTGCGACAGGGCCGGGGTAGGCGCGGGCAAGTTCGGCGGAGTGGGGGTCGGGGTGGAAAAAGAGGTGGCAGGGATGGACAAGGACGCGGGTGGACGTGTGTTCCTCGCGGTGG